TACACTACAAGTGTCATTACCTTTAAATTCATATCTTGCTATTTACATACAAATGAGAATAAATCGATCTCAACTTTCATGTTTAGTTATAGCACGTGACACATCAACTCGAGGATTTCTTAATATTGATCCATCAACATGTAATAAAGAATCGCTCTCGAACATATCTCTAAAGTGACGTGCAATGCATGACACAAAACTAGTATATGATAAAATTTTAATGCTCGACAATTTCAATTTTTTTCCAATAAAATCATCACAAACTAATTCAGAAGGAAAAAAAAATGCTCAAAACAAAAGTTGCTCGTGATTTCTCTAATCTTTTTGTTTGTTTTTGCCTACTTGTCTTCCGGTCAAAAAAAAAACAGACAATTTTGAACTTATTTTGACTATCAAATGTAGAAAAAGGAAATTGATTGCAATGAAATCAATCGGCAGCTAACTAGCTACAATTGGCATAGTTTGAAAACAGTTTTCCCGAGCTTGTAAATCCTTGTTAAAGATAAGATTTAAACATATGTATGTTAACTTTATCAAACTGTTAAGTTTTAAAATTAAGTTGTTCAACACGATATTAAAACATATTTAATAAGATTTTTAAAAAGTCAAACTGCTTTCAATACTTAAAAACAACTTTTGAATATATTTGAATAATTTTCTAGAAGTACTTCTGATAATTGAAAGTTTTTTAGAGAAAATTGGTCTAAATGTTTAATGTAACTTCCTCGTAAAATCTTCTATAAGAATAAAGATGTAGAATCAAAAGCCCTACCAAACTGCCACCGCCACCAATTTATTATAATTGTGCCGATATTAATTTTTAATATGAAAAAAATGAATAACACCGATATGTGTAGATCATTCTGAAAATAAGATTTAAAAATAGTCAAGAACTCGTATATATTTTTAACTCTTTATTATAACAAGCAAATACCGGTCCATCTTCCAGACCTTTAATTTTCCATCATGATGTGGGTTGAATAGATGAAGAAAAATAGCATAACTAAAATTTCCCATATGCATACAGGCATACTTTTCTCACTTGACAACATTAATATTTCATAAAATCAACAAATAAAACAAGAAATGATACAGTCAAAACACATGCACAACAAAGAATTGTCAAAGGAACCAGTTTTCATTTATCAGTTAAGAAAGGCAAGATTTTTACAAGATACAAACATGATTAAAAATATAAAAATATTGAATTAGGCGTCACTTGAGAAAAGGAATCCCAGAATGAGTCAGTCTAGCATACTCCTCGTATTCTGAACCAAAAAACTGCCGCAAGAAAAATTCCTCGTATCGTATCCGTTGTTGGAAAAAACGCCAAACCACCAGTGCAAATGCAAGTGTGGATAAAGGATTGCAAAGCATTATTTGTGTTCCAACAGACCAGATGAAGAAACCACAATAACTTGGGTGTCGGATATATGCATAGACTCCATGAGTGACCAATTTATGATGCTCCTCGTGATGTACCTTTATGAGATGAGTGAACGACCTACCAGCAGTAACTATAGCCAACTTTCTTATAACTTCGCCAATAATAACCATCAAAAGGCCAGTGTTGCTTATCCACCAGTGTTCCTTCAACCCCGGGAAGAAATAAATTTCAACAATGTACTCTACCACTGAACAAATCATTGCCAGGATATAGTTTTTGCTTATTAAAAGAGAGCTGAGAGTTACATTCGTTTTCCCGTGAATGGCAATTGCTAGAATGAGTTCTGAAATGTGAAAGAAGAATATAGCAAAGAACATTTGCGATAACTGCCTGCATGCCGTGTAGCTGAAAATTTCTGTCATTTTTTCCAAAAACTTATCAGACAAATCTTGCTTCAATTTTTTTTTTTTTTTTTTAAAAGATCTTGGGTAGCAAGTCAACTCAAAGGTGTTTAAATCACGGTTTGTTATTACTTCAGACCTGAAATGGTTGCAGACCAGCAAGATATTAGTGACATAAACTTAGGCTCCATATCAACATAAAGATGTTTTAGTAATGACATTTCCTGCAGAAAGAATAATGAGATGGAAATTGTGTTAGAACATCTATATCCATATAGGAATTTTGATCTTGTAATTCTCGAGAACACAGTTACTTAATTTTCTTATTAGAAGTAGAAAATATAGAACTTTTTACATTATGTTGTGCCGCCTGCTTTAAAGCCAGCTTATTGCTATAAATTTCTCTAGCTTGCTTGTTGCAGAATAAGTCTTTTCCATTTTCATCGTCGGATGTCTCATCAACCAGAAGTGACCAAAGATCCAAATCTAAAACTTCAATAGCCTAATCAATTTATAATTACATCTATAGTCGCACATTAGCCTATTCAAGATAACTAAGCTTTGAAAAGTTGAATGAAATGGTGTAATCTGTGCATATGCACAGATTGTTTCCATCGTGTTTTATACTCTATGTGAGTTTGAGTTCCTTCGGTCTATTATGCAAAATATTAACGGTTTATACATAAAGCACATTCATAAATTTCTCATTTTTCCCGTCAAGGGAGACAGCATCTTAAAGTGTGCAAGGAACCAATCCATTCATGAAGAACTCCGGTTTTTAGTGTGGACTCAATCATATTCATTCTTCTTCGCTTTCATAAGAAATGAGCCAACTATGAGCATGCTGGCTAGTCCCTAAAATATTCGTACAAAGATTAAATTGGACAATAATTAGCTGAGAGTGGAGCATTTGTTGGATTCATCTTTTGGAATTTGGTTTAAAGATTGAAAAATTTGGTTAAGCATGAAAACTAACTTTATGTTAACTTCGACCAAATATTCAAACTTGATCCAAATTATAAATATAAATTAACAATCTTATTCTACTCATCCAATAGATCATCCTGGCATATTTAGAATCTCAAAATCAATTCCAAATGAACGAGAAATTGTGGTCCAAATTTGGAAAGAAAAGAGTAAAAACTTGCCGAAAAATTTCTCAACTCCATCGCTCGCCTAATGCTCGCGCGACACATGAGTGACAGGCGGGCAAAAAGTCTTCATTGAAAAAATGACACTGGCGCTCAGGGAAATACTTTCTAACTCATTTCTATGATAATTAAAGTGTTTTCTGCGGAATGAAAAAATGACATTGGCGCTCCGGAATGAAAAAATGACATTGGCGCTCAGGGAAATATTTCCTCATTCATTCCTATGATAATTAAAGTGCTTTCTACAGAATGTTAAAGGTTAAGATATGATTTTAATGATTCTTGTATCTTGATTATATTAAGTAGCGTAGGGCTAAATACTCTTAATAGAATGTCACCTATGTAAGTGCAAAGTGGGGCCGCTTAAAAGAAAATTTTCGAAGCTAGAATTTTCGAAAACACTTATGAAACCCAATTCGGGGCAAAAAAAGAACCAATCATGAGTACCATGAAAGATTTAGGAAAGGCATCTATGTGAATATTATTGTCTTGATTTATACCAACGGCCAAATAGTTCAAGACATCATGTTCACCAAT